AGAGAAGATATAAAAAAAAAAGTTTCCTTCTCAAGTAAATGAAATTTACTTCCATCTCAAGTAAATCCCTGGTACTGCAGCTTGAGCGTCCCAATTCTGACCCACATGGCAGCCCTTAGCCCTGGGTAGTTCTTGTATCTATGATGGTGGTTGTGTGCTATGGAATGGGTTCCAACTCATCACAACACTGTACAGGGTTTCCAAGGCTATAAATCTTTACGGGAGCAGAAAGCCTCATCTTTCTCCCATGGTAGTTTCGAACTGCTGACCTTGAAGTTAGCAGTCCAATTCGTAACCACTACGCTATCGGTGCTCCTTCTTGCAACCTCTAGATCTGTCCATTCTCAGTTCTTCTTTCCCCTCCTTTTTAAAAAAAGCAAAACAAACCTTTTCATTGTGATTTGGGTGAAAGTTGACAGAGCAAATTGCTTTCTATTAAACAATTCATATACATTTTGATACGTGACTTTGATTGCAGTCCCCACAAAATATCAGCACTCTTTTCACTTCCTCCCAGTGTTGACTGTTTCTATTCAGCCCTCTTTCCTATCTCTTCCTACTTCTGAGCATGCTCCTGGGCAAATGATGCCTTTTGGTCTTGTTGTCTTGGTTGGTCTAGGGAGTGCTAGCTCCCGGATGTTATTTACCTGGTGGACTGGTCTATTGTTCAGCTGAATGCTAAACCAAGGGGGTGAAAACCAGAGTCTAAGGGCCACAGTCTTGAGGGTTCCACCAGCCTGGTCTTTTTAAAATTATGATTTTGAGTTTTGTTCCACATTCTCCTCCCACTCTACCCAGGACCTCCTCATGTAAGTCCTTTCAGAGTGGCCTCCAGTGGTGGGGAGGCACCATCTAGTTCTGCCTGTCTCAGGGTTGTGGGGGCTGAGGTTTATGGGGTCTACAAGTTCTATGTACTGATTCTATGAGTCTTTAATTTTTTCACTCTTCTTTGCTCTGGACGGGGTCTTTTCTTCCCCCTTTCTCTCCTAGTTCTAACCCCCATCACATTCTTGTGACAGTGCCCCCACAAGCCCTCCTCCAGGTCTTCCCTTAACCTGCCAGGGTGATTGCTGTTAATAAGTGCCATCAAATCAGTTCTGACTCAGAGCGACTCTGTATAGGGTTTCCAAGGAGTAGCTGGTGTGCTTGAACCACTGACCTTGTGGTTAGCAGTCCAGTGCTTATCCTTGCGTGCCACATCTGCCAGGGATACATGCTCAGAATTAAGCAGAGTTGGGTTTGGGCTCTGCTCACCACTTACTAGCTCTGTAACTTAGGTTAGTTCCTGGACCCACAGCTGCTGCCTTATGCATAACCGAGGCTAACAAGATGAGGTGCACAAAATTCTGGCCAAAGAGGCTGTGGGGTGTTTTCCAGCTTTCTGACCAAAATGGAAGCACTAAGGCAGGGCACTGTCATATGACTTCCCAGTACCAGCATGCTGCCAGGCGGGCTCCTGCCAATGATGATGCCACCCGTGCTTTTCCACCCAGCACTCGACCTGACAGAACGGGTTCTCTGATTCCCATTTTACTGTCGGAGTAAACTGAGGCTCAGCGACAGCCTTGTCCAGAGTAGAGGGTGGCACATTTTGGTCACAATGCTAATGACTGTGTTTAAGCCCTGACTGGGGCATGGCATGCAGAAATAGGGCCCCCAACATAACTGCTGGTAATGACCCATCTGGCTCCGAATCCCAGCAGGGCTTAATTTCTCTGTGCCTTTATGTTCCCACCTGTAAAATGGGAACAAAAACCCACATCAAAATACTGAGCTAATAAAATGATATCACATCAAGTAATGTGTACTGAAGGCCCAGGGAATGCTTGCTTACCTTTACTCTTTCTACACCTGTAGATCCAGAGGATTTTATGCTGTTTAGCTTCTTTCTAAAGGTTTTTGGGCTGGTCAGTTCTTTCTGACATATCACCCAAGTGCCCTGAAGAGCAATCTGCATCTCTCAACATGATTCCTTAAATGACAACATCCATTGACACCAAGAACACAGACTCATGGAACAGTGCAAGAGCTGAAGAGCATCCTGTAGACATCATTTAAATATGAAGAAATCCTCCAAGGGGAGTCACACATGAGCTAATGACCTCCTGGGACCAGAAGCCCAGCCTGGGCGCCAGCTATCCCTGTTCTATCTCCATGGCATTTGTTTGCCTGAATATGCTTTTGAGGAGCCTGCATCAGTCCCTGTTCAGGAGCTGGATGTGACTTGGACTATGAAATAACTCATCCTCTAGGCTGGTCTTGTTGGAAGTAAGCTTGGCAAACATACTAAAAAGAATTGCAATCCAAAGTTGTAAGTACGCTAATAAAAATCACTTGTGATGATGAGTGAGTAGAAGCAAAATTCATTGAACTAATTTTGTTACCACTGTCATTTCCACCAGAGGTGGGTTTGACCAGAGGCTGTGGAGCTCCTCTGGATTCATCTACAGCAGAGGTTTGAAGGTGGGGAGGAAGCAGCATGAAGGGGTCCCCCAGGGAATATTTGGAAATATCTGGAGATACTTCTGTTTGTTGGAACTGTGTGTGGGGATGTACTCCTGATATGCTGCTCAACAGCCTACAATAGACAGGATAGTCCCCACAACAGAAATTATCCCAACAGAATACAACAGTGTTCAGATTGAGAAACCCTGGTCATGCATTCTCGCCCCCCTACCACTCCCTGGTGTGGCGCTGCGGGTTAATGCACCAGACTGCAAAGCTGTTTGAACTGCAAGGTTGGCAGTTCAAGCTCACCAGGTGCTCCTCGGAAAAGCTATACCAGGTTGCTATGGGTCAGAACCGACTTGATGGCATTTAACAACAACAACCCCTCCCCACTTCAGGTTTGGAAAAGTGGACCATCAGTGAAAAAGAAGAAGACCCCCAATTAGATGGACTGACACAGGGGCAATGGGCTCAAACACAACAATTGTGAGGACAGCACAGGACCGGGCAGTGTTTCGTTCTGTTGTGCACAGAGTGGGACTCAGCAATCCTATAGGATTTCCAAGGTTGTAAATCTTTTTGGAAGCAGACTGTACATCTTTTTCCTAGGGAGTGAATGGTGGGCTTCAACTGCTGACCTCGTTCCCACAAAAGGCTCCTTGGGGTGGTAATGAAAAGAAGTTGAGAAACACTTTTCAGTAGCAGTCAAGCACTTAAATGCATCCTCAACAGGGGTGAGAATTTGATTTTGGGAGTAGTGTGTAAAAACAAATATCTTAGATGTTATCATGATTGATGACACTCTACAAAGTATATAAGCAGTTAAACAGTCCACTTGTGGTATTAACATTTCATTCCGAGTGGTAGTTAAGGGATCAAAAGACTAAAAGGCTCCATGTTATTATTGTTGTTAGCTGCCATGGAATTGGCCCTGACTCATGATGATCCCAAGCACAAAACAATGAAATACTGTCAATTTTTTAAAGTAGATGGCCAGACCTTTCTTCCTAGTTGGTCTTAGTCTGGAAGTTCTACTGATGCTTGTACTGTACCACAGCAACAGTCAGTGGCTGCACTAAGATGCACTGGCCAGAAATGAAACCCAGGTCTCCTGAGACATGTTGTTCTTAAGTCCTATCAGGTCAGTTCTACCTCATAGCCACCCTGTATAAGGTTTCCAGTGAGTTTGAACCTTGAGGTCTAAGTTCACAGCGGCACACCAGGGTTTCCCTGCCACATGGAAGGGGAGAATTCTGATGCAGAACCACCAACTGAACATTGTTCTCCCCAGGAATAGCTGGTGGGTTTGAACTGCTGACTTGCAGTTAGCAACCCAACACTTAACCCACAGGGTCACCAAGGCTCCATTACTGAACCATCAATATCCTCAAAATGCTCCCTGTGTGTTAAGTGCTATCTAGTTGGTTCCAAAGCACAGCCACCTTGTATAGGGTTTCTGAGATTGTAAAACTTTGCAAGAGCAGAAAGCCTCATCCGTTTCTCATGGAGTGGCTGGTGGGCTTGAACCACTGACCTCATGGTTCACAGTCCAGTGCTTATTCTATAGAGTCGCCTCGTTCCCACAAAAGGCTCCTTGGGGTGGTAATGAAAAGAAGTTGAGAAACATTTCTCTGAAACACGTCTCTGTCTTCCTCTCAAGAGCACGAACAGCTCTCCAGCCCTCTCCAAGCCTCTCCAGCATTCCCGCATCACAAGAAAATGGAGCTACGACTCTGGTCTCCTCCTATCGCAGCTCAGTTCATGGGACAAACCAGGAGGCAGGACCACCTGTTGCACAGACCTGCCCCTATACAGCCCCGGCTCCATCCCCATGAAGGTGAATGCACACCTCAGCCCAGGGGAAACAGGCTGGCATGTTGACTCCCAGTGATGGGAGAACGAGGTTTGACAGACCACAGATTCTCTCCAGGGGCTCAGATCAAGCTCCTGCTCACTCCTCTGGCTTACATTCGCAACGCCCACCCACAGATCACCCAGAGGTGCCTCAGTACCTCCTCCAGACTGGTCCCTTCTACTTTTCCAAGCACATAATAATATAAAGGTCTCTGATGGCTCTCACCCAATCCGTCAGAGATCCTCGCTTATCTGGCCTTGCCTGAAGGGACTCCAATCCTTGACGGATTTCAATTAAGAGGCTGCCCCACGGGGTCGCTTGACGATTCGAATCTTTCCGGTAAGGCGGCAGCAGCCCAGGCCCGCGAATCCGCAAAGCGCAGTGTTCCTCTCCTAGCGCGCACCGGGAAAGGGCGGCTGCAGGAGAGGTTAGCTCAGGGCGACAAGCTGCGGAGCGCGAGGCGGGCTTCTCCGATGTGCCGACCTACTACCCTCGGCACACAAGGGAACCCTCTCCTCAGACTGACGGGCTACAGCCCAGCCGGGCCCTGCGCAGGCAGAATGGGGACCTGGAGATCCTGCACGCCTGGCACCTTCTTCGCGTCACGCCAGTGCAGGGACTCCCCCTCGGTGCCAGGGTGTCTGGGCCTGCCAGAGCCCTTTTCACTCTGGCCACTGCTGCCCGCGTCCCGGCTCACCTCCGGCAGCCTTGTGGGGCTCCTGGGCCAAGGATCAGGGTCCCTCGGCTTCCTCAGGGGGAGCCCGAGGCCGGAGGCCAGCAGCGCCATCAGCAACACCAGACCGAGGAGCAGCTCCGCTCGGCCCGGGAGCCGAGGCATGTCTCCCTCCAAGGGCGGCTCTGTCCCGTGCCTCCGCGCCACGCTCTGAGAGTCAGTCTGAGCCTGGCCGCGCCTCCTCAAGGGGCGGGGAACGCGGGGCCGCCCACCGCCGGGGGACGCGCAGGGGCGAAGGCTGGTGCGCGGTTAGCCCTCCCGCTGTTCTGCCGCTCTGGCCCCTGGGAGGGGAGCTGCGGGGGTCAGCGTCCGGGATGTTGCCCGCCCTCCCGGGACGGGTGGCCCCTCATCGCTGCGGTCAGTCTTAGCTCAGCGGGCGGCGCTCTTTGATCTGGCTGCTTCCCCTCCCTCAGTTCTCCGCTGTTGTCGCGGTCGCCGCCGCAAGCGAATTCCTATTGGGAGGAAGTTGCAGCTCGTGGGTCGGCGCTCACTTTTCTGGCCTCAAGACTCCTGCCAGGCGAGGCGTGCGGGGTGCCACCTCTGCCCTCTCCAAGGGCGCCCCTACGGAGGGGCGCACGGACTCGGCAGGGCCTTCAGATCTGGGGCATATATTTGTTTGCATCGAGGTAGGTTTGCTTGGGCAGGAAGGCCTGCAAGTAACTCCTGAGGGAGTGACGTGGTTCCCAAAATCTTTTCCACCACCCCAACTTGAGTTGGGGACCAGGGGAAACATCACCTAACATCTGCCACACTGCACACAAATTCCCTCCGGGTTCTTCAAGCACTTTAAACATCTGGAACAAGTTGAGACTCGGGATCCAGGATAAAGTCCCAGGGGGACATTGGAGACACACAGTTGAGGCTGTCCTGCCTCTGGGTGTATACTGGATAAAACGGTAGTACTGCACCTTCCCTCCTGCGAGACACTCACACAGGGACCTCACGTGTAGGCCATGTTCGGGTCAGAATCATGGCCCGCCTCAGGGGGATTGGCATAAAACCCTGCTGTGGCAGAGGCCTGCAACCCAGAGGGGCAGTAAGAATCGCAGAGGTGTGGGTGGGCACATAGAGGTCGTGACTGCTGCACGCTGAGTCATCTCCGATTTCTTCACAGGTTTGAGAGGCACTGGATCCGGGGCTGCTGGACAGACTGGCATGGAAGCCCAGCCATCACTGTAAGACAGTTGCTGTCTGTGTATCCAGAGTAAAGCTCAGGGGGATTTTGCACAGTTTTAAGACGGCACTTCTCAGTTCTCAACAACGCAGCCACAGACTCCGTAGTGTTGTGAGATAGCATATGGTTTCTGGGGCCAGATACTCATATATATACAACAGGGCTTGAATTCTCCTCTACCCAATACAACAAAAACTGTTGCCACTGAGTTGATTCTGACCCATGGCGACCCACATGTGTCAAAGTAGAACTGTGCCCCATAGGGTATTTAATAGTTGCTTGTTTGGAAATCGATAACAGACCTTTCTTCCAAGGTGCCTCTGTGTGGATTTGAACCTCCAAAACTTTCCTAAAATTTCATCAAACTCAGGCTTTGAAAATAATGAGTTAATTCGTTCATATATTTATTCATTCATGTCAGTTGTGACTACTACAATACTCCGTTTCTCTCAGACCTTGCCTAAACGCATTGCCATCAAGTCAATTCCAACTCACAGCAACCCTCTAGAATAGAGTAGGACTTCATTTATTGTTAGGTTTATGGTTAGGACTAGGGTTATTGTGAAGGGTAAGTGTTGGGCTAGGGCTAGGAATAAGGCTAGAATCTACTTTTTAGAGTTATTTTTGTTTGTTAAGTACTATAGAGTTGGTTCTAACCCTAGTGACTCTGTATAGGGTTTCCGAGGAGCAGCTGGTGAGCTAGAACCACTGACCTTGCAGTTCAAATTGATTTTGCAGTCCAGCACATTAGCCTACAGCTATAGTTATTTTTATTTAATTTTTTCCTCAAAATCTATTTGATGTCCTCTTCATTTAGAAGTTCTGTAATTACATGATTCCTACTTTATAATTTACTTCTTTTGTGTGCGGGGGTGGGGAGGTTGTTGTTGTTGTTGTTGCAACTGTATCTCTGGTTCTCTATTTTCAGTCTTATAGGTTTGTTTTACTTTACATACTTCTGGACTGCTCACCAAAAGATTGGCAGTTCAAATCCACCAGCTTCTCCTTGGAAACCCTGTACAGAATTGCTATGAGTCAGAACTAACTCGACAGCACTTAACAATAACAGTCCTGGTATGGTGCTGTAGGATAAGCACTGGACTGCTAACTACAAGGTTGACAGTTCAAACCCACCAGCCACTTCTTGTAAACCCTTACGTGGTCGCGCTATGAGTTGGAAACAACTCGATGGCACTTAGCAACAGCCACATATAGTATAATGTAGATTATATTACAACAATATAATGTGGATTATACTGTTACATATGTCAGTCTTTGCTGTTGTTGGTTCTTTGTCCAAAGAAAACCTCCCTTTAGCAATTTTTTTAAGGTTGGTCTGGTTTTTTACAAATTCTTATAATTTATCTGAAAATTAACTGATTTTCTTGTCATCTTTGATACATGATTCATGGCTGACAATGTATTTCTTTCTGAGTTTTATATGTGTCATTTCATTGTCTTCTTGCCTGCATGGTTTCTACTGAGAAATCAAACCTTACTCTTAATAGTCCTTCTTTGTTGATAACTTTTCATTCGTTCTGAGCTCTCTTTGGGTTTTTTCTTTACCTTTGGGTTTGAAAAGGTTTATTATAATGTGTAGGTGTTTTTCTTTAGAGTCTGTGTTTGCAGTTCATTCAACTTTGTGAATGACTATCTTCTCATCTTTCATGTTACGAATATTGCATATTGTCCCCCTCCCCAGCACCCAAACTATCCTGTGTCTATTCCCTGCCTTGTGCTCCACCTTCCCCTCCCTCCCCTCATCCCACCCCTCATATCCCAGCAACCAGCAAAGAATTCCTCCCATCCCCCAAATCTTGGACTTTTTTCAGATTTTTTTTGTTCAGTTTTCTGATTGTGTCTCTGTTGTTGTTGTTAGGTACTGTTGAGTCTGTATTGACTCATAGCGACCTCATGCACAACGGAACGAAACACTGCCTGGTCCTGCACTATCCTCACTATCGTTGCTAGGCTTGAGCCCATAGCTGCTGCCACTGTGCCAATCCATCTCATTGTAGGTCTTCCTCTTCTTCACTGACCCTCCACTTTATCTAGCATGATATCCTTCTCCATGGACTGGTCCCTCCTGATACTATGTCCAAAGTATAAGAGATAAAGTCTGGCCATCCTGGCTTCTAAGGAGCATTCTGGCTGTACTTATTCCAACACAGATTTCTTTGTTCTTTTAGCGGTACTTTTGGTACTGTCCTCCAACACCAGAATTCAAATGTATCAATTC